AACTGTCAGCCTTTTAAAATTTTTATTAAAGCTATTGTTAAAAAAACTATATAATACATAGGTTGAGAAAAGAGTGTCTGTACATCTGGGTATAGTGCTTAGATTATCCACAAATACAAAGTTTGTTTTTAAAGTCATATGATACATGGAGTACATAATCAGCAATAACGCAAACATAGGTGAATAGATTTAACAATACAGTTTAGATATTAGAATCTGAATACTCGGGTATTGTCATGATAAGAGATTTGGTTGTGGAAAACGAAATATAACAATGAGTGGAGATTGTCCCTCAGTAATTGAGAATTGGGTAGGTTGTCCATTTAGAAAATACAATCCACAAGGAAAGTATTTTAGTTACAATTGCTCTAATGTTAGGAAGAAGCAGCTGCCCATGGTGGAGAATCCCAGCAGAGCTTTTTTTCAAGAGCGTTTCACTGAAGAATTGGCCATAGAAACACTGTATTTGAGGACTGGGATTTACTGTACTATACAGGCTGTTAGTAGCGGTTCTCCTGAGCAGTCTGGTTAGTGTGTCACTCTCCCATGAAGCATCCAGGCAGGTAAAAATGGACTTGTACTGAGCCAATTGTTTGTTTGATCATGGTCCAGTTCCAGCAAAATCCCTTTCAGAATTCTGTGGAGGCTACTCTTACTGCTGTTTTAAATGAGCCAAAAGATGCTGTCAGTTTCCCAGCTGACTACAGCTGGAATGGCCACACTTATTTTTCTTCCTAATATTTTCCCCTCTAAGAAAGCAGCTTTAGCTGTGAGAAAACATTCTCTTCCCATGTTGTTACTCTTAAAATTGGTGTGTTGGTCTGTCACATCTGTGGGTTGAGAGCCCAGTTAAAACAAAAAACTGCAGACCAGTTCAGAGTAGCAGCCGTGTTAGTCTGTATTCACAAAAAGAAAAGGAGGACTGTAGCTCACAAAAGCTTATGTTCAAATAAATTGGTTAGTCTCTAAGATGCCACAAGTACTCCTTTTCTTTTTGCAGACCAGTTCAGTAATTGCTTATTGCTAAAGACAACAGAAGAGCTTAGAGCATTATGCTTGGATTCTTCTTTTCTTCCCCATTACTAATCAAGCATGTTGTTCTCCAGAAATCTTCCCCATGTCAAATTGCCAGGTCAGCTCTAATTAGCTTCAGTCAGACTCATGTATGTAGTTTTAGACATTTCTGGCTGATTATCTTTTTTATGCACATGCAAAACATCAGAAAAAGGGAATGGTTTCTGTCAACCTTTCACATTCCTTGCCAATACATCCTTTGGATAAAAGAAATCCACAGTGGAAAGATTTGTTCATTCCAACCACTGTCTGGACAAAAGATTTTTAGTTCACTTACCATTGATCATGCTGCTTGATATTTTTTCAGATTTGTTCAAATCTCTGGCGTTTCTGTATACTTCTTAAATTAAGATTGGGATTTAGAATCTTTATCTACAGGGGAAAAAATCCCTTAGTTTGTTCAAAAGTTAATTCTGCAGACTTTCAGTATAACATTGTTGAAACTTGTTTATCTGAAGCCTGAATGAATTGCAAGTACAATGACAGGAAATGGAGACAATTGTAGAATGTGTTGTCTCCATCTCTGGTTTGCCCTTTTTGAAGCATTGTATTTGTGTAGTCATTCCTTTAGAGAGTCTTCAGTTGTCATAGATGAAAACTGATAATATATGAAGGAAAATATATGTAAGCTGCTTTCTAAGCCAGTAGTGAGGTATCAGACAGTTATCTGTATGTGTCGGTTTTCTATAAATATCAAAATTCAGTAATTCTGTCTCCAGTTAAGTAAACTTCAAATGTAGGGAGAATATCCTGTCCCTCTATACTCTACAACAATGTTTCTCAACCCATTGGGTTGTACCGAAAATTGGGGCGCCAGATTGTTTCAAAGGGTCATGTGGTGGCTCCTGTCCCACGGGTTTGCTTGGCTCACCTCCCTGTTCCAGGCAGTGCAGCCTCTGGGGTCCCAGCGCCGCTCACGATTGGCCCAGCCAACAGTATGACGGGAGTCTGGGTAGGTCAAATTTGAGTGAGTGGCACCTGCAACCCCATGAGCCAGGTCACAACTCCACTCACACAAATTTGTTCAGGTCACGGGTGCAAGGCCAAGTCTGAGCAGTGCTGCAACCCCGGAGGTTGCAACACCCAGAGTGGAGAGTAGGGTTACCACCTTTGAAATGCAAAAAACCTGGCACCTCCTTCCCTCAAGGCAAGCCTGCCACAACCCCAACCACAAGGCAACTCCACAATCCCCCCTTAACAGCCACTTATAGTATTTAGAGAGAGAACACACATAGATAAGACTAATAACATCATTTTCTTACTTAAACTTTGGAAGTGGGAACACTTGCAGCATCTTTAGCTGGACATAGAAACTTTTAACATTAGATATCCCAGTGTACTGTGATAATAATGCAAATCTTTAGACCCACATAAAGAAATAATACTTGTCAGATTAAATTATTTTTCTGGCAACTGGTAAATCCATTAAAAAAACCCAGCCATGCCGGTCAAATACCAGCCAGGTGGCAACCCTAGTGGAGAGCCAAGCCCAGCCATCCTAACAGGAGCTGCAGGAGCTGATACTGTGGGGTGAGTGCCAGGCAGGGCCCAACCCCCTCAGAGGCAGGACCTGACTAAAACCATCCCAGGGCCTCCAGCCCCAGACTATTAACTGGGTTATGACCAATGAGGAGACAAGATGGGTTAGTTCATAAACATTTACAAATGGGTTCTGAGCCCAAAAAGGTTGAGAAACACTGTTCTACAATGCCTAAAAATTAGTAAAATCATCTCAGTTGTGCTGTATGGGAGATGGGAGGTCGTTATGCTAAACTCCATACTGCCTATGTATGTAGGGTTACCAACTTTCTAATCACACAAAACCGAATGCCCCTGCCCCGCCCCTTCACTGAGGCCCTGCCCATGCCTCGCCCCTTCTCCAAGGCCCCGCCCCACTCATTCCATCCCCCTCCCTCTGTCACTTGCTCTTCCCTACCCTCACTCACTTGCACCTGGCTGGGGCAGGGGTTGGCGTGTGGGAAGGGGTATGGGCTGGGGATGAGGAGTTTGGCATGTGGGCTCTGGGGTGGGGCCGGGGATGAGGGGTTTGGGGTGTGGGAGAGGACTCCGGGCTGAGGCAGGGGGTTGGAGTGGATGTGGGGGGGGTGTAAGGGTCCGGCTGGGGGTGGGGCTGGGGATGAGGGGTTTGAGGTTCAGGAGGGGGCTTCGGGCTGGGCCAGGCGGTTGGTGTGCGGGGGGGGTGAGGGCTCTGGGATGGGGCCAGGGATGGAGGTTTGCGGCAGGAGGGTACTCTGGGCTGGTGCAGAGGGTTGGAGTGCAGGGAGGCGAGGGCTCCGGCTGGGTGTGTGGGCTCTGGGGTGGGGCCGGGGATGAGGGGTTTGGGGTGTGGGAGAGGACTCCGGGCTGAGGCAGGGGGTTGGAGTGGATGTGGGGGGGGGGGGTGTAAGGGTCTGGCTGGGGGTGGGGCTGGGGATGAGGGGTTTGAGGTGCAGGAGGGGGCTTCGGGCTGGGCCAGGCGGTTGGTGTGCGGGGGGGTGAGGGCTCTGGGATGGGGCCAGGGATGGAGGTTTGGGGCAGTAGGGTACTCTGGGCTTGTGCAGAGGGTTGGAGTGCAGGGAGGCGAGGGCTCCGGCTGGGTGTGTGGGCTCTGGGGTGCGGCTGGGGATGAGGGGTTTGGGGTGTGGGAGAGGACTCTGGGCTGAGGCAGGGGGTTGGAGTGGGTGGGGGGGTGTAAGGGTCCGGCTGGGAATGAGGGGTTTGAGGTGCAGGAGCGGGCTTCGGGCTGGGCCAGGCGGTTGGTGTGCGGGGGGGTGAGGGCTCTGGGATGGGGCCAGGGATGGAGGTTTGGGGCAGTAGGGTACTCTGGGCTGGTGCAGAGGGTTGGAGTGCAGGGAGGCGAGGGCTCTGGCTGGGTGTGTGGGCTCTGGGGTGCGGCTGGGGATGAGGGGTTTGGGGTGCAGGAGGGGACACTGGGCTGGGGCAGGGGGTTGGAGTGTGGGGGAGGGGGGAGAGAGGGTCCCAGCGGTGCTTACCACCACTCTGAGAAAGCGGCCGCCAGATCCCTGCGGCCTCTAGGCGCATGGACAGCCAGGGAGGCTCTGTGTGCTTTCTCCGTGCTGGCAGACGCTACCCCCCACAGCTCCCATTGGTTGTGGTTCCTGGCCAATGTGAGCTGCGGAACCGGCATTGGGGTGGGGGCAGCTCATGGAGCCTCCCAGTCCCTGGCCACCCCAGCGCCAAAGGGCCGCAGAGACCTGGCATCTGCTTATCAGAGCCATGTGGAGCTGGGGCAGGTAGGGAGCCTGCCTTAGCCCTGGCCCCCCACTGCGCCGCCGACCGGACTTCTAACGGCCCAGTCGGTGGTGCCAATCGGAGCCACCAGAGTCCCTTTTTGACTGGGCATTCTGGTCGAAAACTGAACACCTGGCAACCTTATATGTATAGTGGCTTTCTCTGAGTGAAATGTACCCCACAGAGAGGTTCAGTGCAGGCCTCATTTGAAGGCTTAAGTGGTGCTTAGGCCTTGTGCTGGCTGTCTGCACAGGGATGAAGTTCCCCCTCTATAGTGAGCTAGAGATGTTATGATTGGGCCTGCAAAGCAGTGATGTTAAGGGCAATGATGCAGAATGGTAAAACTTCCACCTCAGGAAGATGGAGTAGAGTGAGTGGAGTTGTGACCTGGCTCATGGGGTTGCAGGTGCCGCTTCCACAACCCCAGAAACAAGGTGGCAGCTCTGAGCTCAATCAAAGAGAAAGGTTTCCTGCATAAAGCCTGTGTACTCTGACACTGCACATAGGACAGGAGTCTGGTCCGAGCTAGATGAGGGAAAGCTATATCGCAGAAAATACCAATTCATTATCCCAGTGGCTGAATCCAGCTCAGAGTTTAATATTTTGAAAATTACTTCAAAAATCCTAGAGCAAATGTCGTTCAGACTTAATCCTTTTATTCTCTCATTTTTCAGATTCCTCGGATGGATGTCTAAAAGCTTCTACACATCAGGGGGCAATAGATGTTTATGTTAGTCAAGTGAGAAAAGTGGATCTGAAAAGCCAGAAAGGTTAGCAAATTGCAACATTTTATGGCATCCTTTGATATAAGAGATGGTAAAACTACCCACTCTCTTATATTTAAATAATTACAGTAAAATAGTCATTCTTACCTAATTCATCATTAGAAAACGTATATTGGCTCTTAGCACAGTAGGCACTGCAGATGACAATGGTATTTAAAATAGACCCCACAAGATCATCTGGGGCTTTCATTTCAGTAAGAATCTTACACTTTCCACCTTTCTTCCAGTAATCTTCCGCACCAAACCAGTAGAATCCTGCAGAACTGACTAGGATTGTAATCCCCCTTTGCCTCATCAATGCAGTTTACTCCATGCTGTTGGCAGGCGTGTGGAACTGATGAGGCTCGTATTTCATTTCTCCATGCCCATTTCCCATGAAAAGAATTACTATGTGTGGAGACCCTGAAATTAAAATGGCAAAGCAGCAACGCAAGGGAAGGCAGAGCCAGAGAGATGACACATGCCCCAGCACATGGACATGTTGTTAAATGAGCTAATTACTCCCCTAATTTCTGCTATCTACTTACTTACTTATCACAGCTTTAGTTGTTAAAACATCATCCTTCAAAAGCTGGATTCACCCTTTTGCCATTTGAAAGAGCACAGACCTAAAGGTCCTGTTATAGTAAAAACATTCATGCCTTGCAGGTGTTTTGTGTTACAATATTGAGTAATGCATTTGCAAAAGCCATTATACAGTACTCTTCATTCTCATTTCTGTTATGCCTTTGCACTCTCCCAGTGTTTCTGTGTGGTCATTTGTCTTTGGATAAACCTCCCCTGTTATCCCTGAAATGGGGAGTAGGTCCTGTAGGAATGCAGTGTTCAGCAAGAGAGGAAAGAAAGGTACTGAATTAATTCCTGTGTGCTATCTTTTATTGTCTTGCACTAGCCACTCCATCTCCTGTAGTGGGAAGAACTATCTTTACATTACTATCTAACCAGGTGTGGAATTACTTCCAATAACTCACATTACTGTTTAACCATCAAGAGAGGGAAATGTGTTTCATAAGTGTTATAAAGAAAAAAATATTAAACTGATGTTCAGAACATACTCTGACATCTGTACCAGTGAAGACAAAGATAAAACAGGACAAATTCTGCTCTCAGTTACACCAATGTAAATCCAGAATAACTGTTGACATCAGTGGAGCAGAACCTGGCCTGTAATGTCAAAATAACTGAGTGTTTGTCAGGTTTTATGGGCTAGATCATTGAATCTGACCAGCCAGGACATGACGATGGAGAAAAAGTGTCTGTGAGCCATCTTTCCATTCCCCTGATCTGGCTGGTTCTTCTGTGCCCATCATAATTTATGGCAGCCTGAATTATGCTGTTAGTTGTGGTCCTCTAGGGAGGGTCAGGAACCAAAGACATAGAGCTGAGGATATACCACCCCGGGATTCCCATGCACCAGGGGAATCCCCAGCAGCCTTATTAGGGTAGCTTTCTGACTTTCTTGTGCTGTGTGGAGTAGGGATAGTATCAGGCCCTATATGTCTATTGTTTGCATTTTCTTGTACAGGTAGCATCATAGATATTACTTTGGAGGACTGATATATAAATAGTGTAGTAAAGTACTAGTTATGTTCTGAGTTGGACCTACAGTATATATGTAGCTATATAAAAATGAAAATTTTTGCTAAGCAAAAGCAGGAATCAGGCTGAAAATAAAAAACCTTTATTCAGAAAATGTGTGTGAGTTTTTTTGTTTTTTGCCATCATGCACAGAGCATAGGTACTGAAGATCCTTGATTTAACTAGTTCAAATATGTCTAAGACTGGTAACAGGATGGCTCAGCTATTAGCTGCAACCCAACAGGAGGCCCACATTTAGGGAAAGTACTTCAGGATTGCTGTTCCAGTAGAGGCCAGACTTCCAGTTTTTAATCTCAAGGTTGTGGTAGTGCAGATTACTGAAGCTGTTGTGATTTTGCTAACAGATCATCTGTAAAACGTAATTCACAATAGCTGTGGAATAGACAGCAATTTATACCCCAAGCTAGAATCAACTGTGAGGCCACATCTTCTCAATGGATGTGAAGTGCTAGCTCTACGCTGTAAGGGGAAGATATCTCAGAAAATAGCTGTTTGTATTGATGGTGTATACTGTTGCACAGTCTTCTGGTTGCAGTAAATGAGAGTCCGTGTGTCCACAGGAGTGCTCTTTATCCTCCTGGAGGCAAGAAAAGAAACCAGCATCTCTGAAGATTCTTGAGCAAAAATAGGACTCTCTCTCCCATCTAAGCTCAGAAAAGAGTAGAATAGCGGAGGCCCTCTCTCTGTTTGCATGCTTTGTCTTGGATATTAACATTCATGTCTTTCATTTTAATTTATAACAGGCTCTATTACAGTCAAGGTACCTGCCTCTCTTAAAGCTTATTTACAGTTATCTGGAAGCAAGGTTGATGTGAGCTCAGAGATCCAGTTACAGGAAACCCAGTGTGCCCCTAAAGAGGGTCACATAACTATTACTGGTAAGACTTGCTTTTAATAAATGTATCTGGCCTAAATAAAATGTAGATATGTTTGATTATGGTTTTATTGTTCTTGGCTTCTTCCTGTTCCATCTGTCTCAACTTCAAATGTTTGCTTATGCCAATGGCCTCCACATCTGTTATTAGATGCCTTTTTTATTTCATGCCTTTGTAAATGACATGTGAATGCCAATCAGCTGTTTCAGTAGTTAGAGTTGTAGGGCCAAATTCATCCCCAACGTAACTTCATTGACTTTTGTGGAGCTACACTGGGCAAGAATTTGGCCCACTGATTTTTAGAGAGAGAGAGAGTATGTTGTTGGTTTTTAGACAGCTGAGTATAATTAAATAGGTGACCAGCAAATATGTATTAAAATATAACACAAGAATCTTTACAAATGTGTTCTGAGTGCCTCTGATAACCAGGGTAAAAGGGGAATGCAGCGTATTTTCGAAAAATACATTTATATATTTTATATGTGATGCTCCCTCTGTTGGGGCCCAGCCAGTAAGAAAGGTAAGGATGTAGCAGGCACACTGGAATTCAGAGGGGTGAAAAATGGGGGGAGAGGGGGCGAAAGGATGTTGCAGGAGCCAAAGGGAAACAGGAACCAGGGTGGGCAGGAGCTAGGGGATAGTGGATAAGAACAGAAAAGGACAGTGTCAGGAGCCAGGGAGCAGGGATGCATACGGGAGGGTGGATAGGACTATGTGGGGAGGGGCTGGAGCTGGGATGAGGGAGTTGATAGGAGCAGAGGGGACAAAGACAAGCTCGGGGCACAAAGAAGCATCTGTAACCACTAGAGCAGAGAACCTAGAACTGAACCTTGGAGTCCTTAGTCTCTACGTTCCTCTGCTATCAAGATATAGCTGTGAAATCCACTGGCAAAACATGTGTCTCATCCCCCCTTTAGTGACTGCTCCACATAGAGGATAACAGTCTATCATTGCTACCAGTCACTCCGTTTAGCTTAGGTCTGTGTGATGGAACTGAAGGTTATCTACCCTGCTGATGATCCATGATGGAGTTTCTTTTTTTCATTTTGCTTTTTTAAAACCATAAGAAAACACACACACAAATCTATATTAAAAGAATGTTAAGGTTGCAAAGTCAAGCACTCAAAATGCAAGGAATTAAGGGTGCCTGTGCAGTCTTAATTTGGCTGCCTTTTGCATGTGCATCATGATGCCGTCTTTAGTTACATGATCACCACCTACTATTTTTCCCTCCCTCATTCAGTGCACAGTGTGTGATAAGATATATAGAGGATATGAAATTAGAATTTTTAAAAAGCAATGTTAAAGGTCCTCAGAGTGACATAACTCCTGCAGGCAGACTCACTTCTCCAGCCTGGATTAAATTAAACAACATGTCACAATGAGTGGGGAGCTGGTGATTGGCCAGTGGTCTGGATCTCATGGACTTTAAAAACAACAAACCATACCCTTGCACTATAAAATGTACATGTGAGCTGAGTGGCCCCTCTTCTATCCTGGGGTTGATCCTTCTGATACCTGGATCAGACCCATGGGCGGTTTTTTGTTTCTTTTAGGGGGAGGTGGTCAGCATCTACTTCTAACATTCTGTGATTTTTGTGGGGGAGGGATGGGGGCAAATCATCTTTGAAACAGAAATGACCCACAAACCTACCATTCTGCATACAAACCGTTCAGCAGTTTAGACTGAAAGTGTCTCCTGATCAGTCAGCCCTCAAATGTACACATCCAGAGGCCACTGAAGGCAGCATTTAGCCACTAGTTTTCACTTCCCTTAAAGAGCCCATGGCATTCCAATAAGACACCCAATGACTATGGATATAAAATTCAGTAAGATTTTGGGATGATCTGTCCTTGCATCACATGTTGCTTTATTTCTATCCGTGTCACATTTAAATCATTTTAATATTGATTGACTTCAATAATCCTAATGCAGATAGTTTAGAGGAAATAACAGTTCATGTTTACAGGTAGGGTGGCCATCTCTACCTTATTTAGTGCCTAATATCCCACATTCTAGGAACAAATCAATATACTTTGTCCATATTTCAGCGGTAATTGGGTAAAGGATCATACCCTGTGATTCTGTACAAATGTATGATTAAACAGTGTGTGACTTCATAGTCTGAATATAACATTTTGGGGAGCTGTGCTTTAAAAATAAACCTTATCCAATTCTGTATTTTTTATACAGTTTTCCTTTATTTCCTTTAAATGTAGGCTGGCTTCTTTTCACATCCTCCCTTCAACTAATTTAACAATGTCTTATATTAAATGTCAAGATTCTCTTTGTAACAGAAAGTATTCTTTTTCCAGTAAGATAGTTTTCTAATATAAGTAGACTCTGAAATAATTACAAATAATTTAATAAAATTAACAGATAGGGTACATGGTGAAAAATGTTCCTCCCCTTGGGAACCTTAGGGACAGCGTGGCAGCAATTTCATTTGCATTTTAGCTGAAGCACATATAAAACAGATGAAAAAAGTCCCTGTGTTTGCCAAACCATAAAAAAACCCACATCACAAGGGGATATCAATTTAGACTTTTAAGTCTGTAAGCTAAGAGGTTAGTACAAAAATAGTTAACCCTTCAGAAGCTGGCTGGTTTCCAGGTGGTTAATGCTGGGAACTGTCTGTTTTGAATGGATTTTCCATATCTCTTGGGAATTCTAGTGTGAGAGGTCAATGAAGAGTTCTTCCAGGGCAGAGTGGGTGTATGTGATGTTCTGTACCTCGGGGGAATACCCAGCACCCCCATGTTCATCCTTATAATATGATTGTGTGGTATCCAATGCAAAGTTTGTCATGTCGGGTGTTTTCGGAAGGCTCATGATGCAGTGAGCATTGTTGTTATGGGAATGTTACAGTAATCGTTGTTATAGTAATGGTATAGGTTGTAATTTCATATATATAGTTAAGAGGCTGAAAATGTGTCCTCGTGACTTAAATCAAGCCCAGGCAAAAACTCTCTAAGAGCAGAGAGGCAGTTCACAGCTCATCAGATGGGACAAACCCAGCCCAGCCTCACAGAAACAAAGGACACTGGCCTTGGCAACAACAAAGGATCTGTTGGACTCTCGAGTGAGTCACCCCCCTTCCTTTGGTCAGTTTGGGACTGCAATGAGGTAATGCTCACTTGACCCTGAAGGGGGAGGGGGAAAAGCCAAGAGGAAAGAAAGAACATGATAAAAGGAAGAGACGTTTGCCATGCTCTTCCTCTCTCTTCCAACTCCATCTACAGACACCACACCAAGCGACTGAAGTGCTGAACAAAGGGGAGAGCCTGGCTGATGGCAGCCAGCCAGCCTGTGGTGAGAAGCATCTAAGTTTGTAAGGGCATTGAAAGTATTAAGATCAGTTTAGAATGCATTTTGCTTTTATTTCTTTTGACCAAATCCGACTTGTTATGCTTTGACTTATAATCACTTAAAATCTATCTTTGTAGTTAAGAACTCTGTTTGTTTATTCTACGTGAAACAGTGCATTTGGTTTGAAGCGTGACAGAGACTCCCCTTGGGATAACAAGGCTGTTATACATCAATTTCTTTGTTAAATTGACGAACTTATATAAGCTCGCAGCGACCAGCGGGCATAACTGGATACTGCAAGATGGAAGTTCCTAGGGTTGTGTCTGGGACCAGAGATATTGGTTAGTATCATTCAGTTGCACAATCCAAGCAGTGGCTGGCCAAAAGTGCCCATTCATGTAGCTGGGAGCAGCTTACATGCCAAAGGCTGTGCATGAACATCCCGGGAGTGGGGGTTCTCACAGCAGATCAGGGTAAGGCCGGCTCCCAGAGGTAAGGCCGGCACATCACCAGTCCAGATAACACCAGGAGAATGTCAGAAAGTAGAATTCTTGCATCAAGTGAGTTCTGATCCAGTCCACCTCCAGCTACAGGAAACTCTCACTGAACCCTGAAGTTTGGTGTAACACTCATGGGACTAGTCCTCTCTCTGCTACTAGGTACAATATTGGTCAAGGGAGTAGCAGGATTGCGAGTTCATTGGTGATGCACATCCAGGGGAGTTGGGAGGCTACCAAAGAATGGAACTGATTTCGAACATAGCATGAAGACAAGAGGGAAACAGCCTAGGGTGAGTAGTAGGTGGAGCGTGCTGGGAGGAGAGGTGATGGGAAAGTTAGAGAAGTGGGAAGGCATTTGATCTCTCCAGAAACGGAGGATCAGTTCAGAGGAATTGGGGCATTTGCTGTAGGAGGGAGGGAAATAGGAAACATGGAAGGAGAGTTTACTCTTGAGCGCTTCAGTGTAATTAACAAGGATGAGCCCTCAGTTCTCTAAGGAGTCAGTGGGTACTTTAAGGAAATCTAAAAATAGGTTTTAAGAGTTGATTTGCAAACTCTATGGCCCAATTTCCTTCTTAGCATTGTCAGGCTGCATAGCTGGAAAGTGCTAGTATAACTCCATCCCTAGTGCTGATCCTACTAGGCAGACACTCCTATCTTTTTCTTTGGCAATAGGGAAGAAGGGCCTGTGGCCTAACCCGTGGTCCATCCCCACTCACTCAAGATCAGGAGGTATCTGCAAACTGAACTCTGTGTGGAACTACATGGACAATGGGAAGGGCACAGGACATACAGCAAGGACCATGTAATTAAAGTAAAGGATGCTTGGCAGAATTAAGAGCTTACCTGGCCACCTGCTCCTACCTGCTGTAAGGTGACTGAAAGGAAGATCATGAAGGTACAGGCAGGAACCATTTGGGAGCAAGACAACCAATGGACAGGTTCCCCTACACTCGCATTGCCTGCTCGTGTGCCAAAGAACACAGACTCAGTGAGAATAGAGGCTTGCTGTTGTGAAGAGATCTTCAAAGGGAAAGGGGGCTGGTCTCAGGGAACTGGCAGTTAGCCCAGCAATTTCCCAACACCCCAGCCATGAATTTTCTTTTGCTCATCTGGTCAGTTTTAGTGAAATAATCTATTATCATTAAGTGGTTTCTATGGCCTTTCTAACCCAACTCCACTTTGGGTATTCA